CTGGGTCATTTGATAATTGTTGTACCTGATGCGAACGAGGGACTTGATGTTGAGGAGAGGAAGGTGCTGTTCTCAATTATATTATGAATCACTCGGTTACCGACGGTAGTGAAGGTATCGTCTGTATATGTTATGGATGCGTCTTCGTTCTTGTGTCGGTCTCTATGTCCATGCCATGCGTCATCTTTTTAATATATCGGTCAAAAGTCTCACCGAAACAAAGCGGAGCCCGCTGCTACCTAGACCCATCCTGCCCCTGTCATGTAAGTACTTAGCTAGTTTGTAGAGCAACAACATCCATGCTCTTCCATGTAAGAATATCACTTGAAAAACGATCTTCAAACACCAAAAAAAATAGGAGCAAGTGCACACGTTGAGAAAGCTCAGCACTAGGTCCGACAATAACTAGAGACACCGACGCCACAATCTAGAAACATCTTCTACTTCTTATCACAGCACTACTATTGATATTGTAGCCTTCTAGCTATTATATCCGTGAAAGCCATTTTGTTTTGCACCACGAAGAGACGAAAGAACCGGGCCACTTCAACATAACGGCGGGTGGCTCAGTAAACTTTCTCGTGGCCAAAAATAATCAGAGAAAAAGATGCCGCTCCTCGAAGAGGCATATGCCGAAGCAGCTCCGCTCATGGAGAGCGACCCTGGCCACGGCGGTGGCCACAGTGGTGACATTCTTGCACTTATGCCGCGTAGCGTCAGCTTTTCGATCTTCAGCTACAAGCATACATACTCCTGCTACTTTCGTGATGGTTCCACTTAGCGAGAACTTCCACGCGGAAGCTTATTATAGCCTGTAGATCTTTATCCATCCTCGGGCTTCAGAAGTAGTGCCGATGAGGCCTCGGCGTTTGCGCCTTCTTTGTAGTGTGCCCTTCGGATGGGTTATCTGTTTTTACTACAGATGTTTCCTATCCTCTAATAGAGCAAGTGCTGGCGGTGGCGTTTTGCCTGTCTGGGCGTGCGATGCTATGCTGAAGAGCCGCGCGAGCGTGATGAGCAAGCAGACCAACTACCACATCAAGAAGGTATGCGCCTTGTTGCTCTTGCTCTTGGTGTCTTCGATTGCAGTGGTAGGCCCGGCATTCTTGGCGAGTCTATTGGTGGCGCCAATTATGGCTCGAAGCTGAAAGCTTACAATCCAAACTAGTAGAGGAGTTATTTGCTATAGATAGACTTGCCCCATCAATAAGCAGATGGGAGGCCGGCTCTCTTGATGTGGTCTTCGCGAGTGATAACTAAGATGCTCGGGAAGGGAAAATGGGCCCTCTTCTTGATCTCTCAACTAGATCTGATAGATGAGCGTCAACTTTCTGAAGCCTCCACCTCTTTTAACATACGTGGCGCCGCGTGCGATGGTGCAGCCGCTGGGCTTCAACATCCAGCCACTCGCGCTCGTCTTGGTCGCGCTTTTTCTACCTCTGCAAGCAACGGCTCCGCAATGAGCACCGCGACGGCGATGGATGAGCTGAGCTTCGTCGACCTTAGGACCACGGAGACAACCCCAGCCAAGTTTGATCCTGGAGCGGCCCTGGCGCGGATGAACGCGGCCGCTATGACTGGCGGCTATGCAGCTGTTCAAGAGGTTTACCTCCGAGAGTTAACTCATGACGCCCAGTCAAGCGTCGACGTTCTGGCGACTCTCTTCCGCAGTGGCACAGATCCGGCCAATCTAAACGGCCTTCATGGCGTGTGCAATCTTCTCCCTCTACGGGTTGACGGGGAGTGGAAGGACCGGAAACGGAATGGCGGATCGCCTCCAGGAGTCCGCCAGAACGTAGTGTCTGCTGAGGTAGCTACCATACACCTTTCTGCAGATTCTTGCACGGTACAGCCAGAGCAGGCCCACGACCACGCCAACGGGAACGGCGTCAAGGTTCTCGAGGCCCTCGGTACTACGATGGTTTTCTTCGACGAAGGTGCCAGCGCTCGAGAGTGTTTCCCTGGGCATTTGCGTACGTGCAAGCCGGTTGCTGATGGGGCTGTTGAAAACGCTGTGGCGAAAATGGAAATGGCTTCATGCTTGAAGGACGAAACTACGCAGGCGGGGTGTGAAAATGACCCGAATTTCGCGCGGGAACGCGACGTCGCGGTGCAAAGTCTTTACCGCAGATTTTCGCCCCAGCTTCAACTTCGAGAGAACGTAGACGTCCTGGCGACTCTCTTCCACTTTGGAACAAATCCGGACAATCCTCAAGGTGAAGGCGGCGCGTGCACTGATGTTCTTCCTCGCTGGTCGTCTCGCATGGGATGGCAGGACCAAACAAGCGGATCGGGCTCAGGATACCAGGAGATCGAGAACATAGTGCCTGCAGGGGTAGCTAATATGCACTTTTCTGCAAGTTCTTGCACGGCACAGCAGGAGCAGACCCCCGAGTTCGCCAACAGCGTCAAGGCTCTCAAGAGTCTCGGTGCTGTGATGGTTCGCTTCAACGATCAAAGCGCCCGCGGTGAAGAGTGTTTCCCTGGGCATTTGCGTACGTGCAAGCCGGTTGTTGGTGAGGCTGTTGAAAACGCTGTGGCGAATATGGAAGGGATTTCATGCGCGAAGGACGAAACTACGCAGGCGTCCTGTGCACGTGACTTGCGTATCGCGCTGGAAAGCGACTTCGCGGTGCAAAATTATTACCGCAAATTGTCGCCCCAGCTTCGACTCCGAGAGAACGTAGACGTCCTGGTGACTCTCTTCCGCTTTGGAACAAATTCGGCCAATCTTATAAAACAGAAAGGCGCGACGTACGATTTTTTCCCTCTCTGGTCGGAGCATGGCAAAAATTGGAAGGACCAAAATAGCGGATCACATTCAGAAGTCCCCGAGGTGGAGAACTTAGTGTCTGCTGAGGTAGCTAACGAGCACTTTTCTCCAGGTTCTTGCACGGCACAGCAGGAGCAGGCCCACGATCGCGCCAAGGTTCTCAGGGCTCTCGGTACTACGATGCTCAACAGCTTCGCCAGGTGGGGTGTCGTGGATAGTTGTTTCCCTAGTCATTTGTTTGCGTGCGCTCCTTTTGTTGCTGGCGCTTTTGAAAGGGCTGAGGCGCAGATGAGACAGGAGCCAGCAGACAAAGACAATGCGCGAAAGGCGTACCGAGCTGCGAGTGGGATCTACACAAAGGAGCTAACGGATGAGCTGAGGAAGCGCGACGAGATTCGCGCAGATTTCTTCCGCATTTCGCGTTTTGCAGTAGAAATTGATTTGGAAACATTTGATTCTGACATTGATATCGGGTACGGAGGCTATCCAGATGTTTTGTGGGAAGATGAAAGCTTCGTGCGGTACGCGATGATGCAGGTGTCATGCTCGAAGAACGAAATGACCGCAAGAAGTTGCGCAGCCGACGCAAATAGATGGGGACACGCGCTTGGGTTACTGAAATCAATCTATGCATCGAGGGTGCCGACGCATCTCCAGAAGAGTGTCGACATTTTGGAGGCCTTCTTCCGCTTTGCCACAGGCTCGGCCGCGAATGTCCGGCACGAGAAGGCCTGGCTGTGCGGTTTTCTCCCTCGGTTTGATGGGACCTGGCGCTCGTTCGGGTTCGCCAAAACGAAGATGCCTGTGGAGATAGCGGAGCGCTTTTTTGGGAATAGCCAAGACCAGTGCGCCAGGCCTGATCTTGATGCCGTCCAAGTCCGAGCTTTCGCTGCTCTTGGTGCACAAATGCTTGGTCAGCCCGAATGCGTCCCGAAACATTTGCGGATCTGCCCGGCGGTCGTTGCTGGTTTGCTTGCTGCCGATCCCACAACATCCGCTGAGAAGTGGAGCACGAAACTCGCCACTGAACTAGGATCCGAGTCCTACGTGACAGAAGGGGAAGTTACATCGCTGAAGAACGATCCGCGAGTTGCGGTTTTTGCACTGCCAGGTCTTGCCGACGGAACCATTAGCGTCAGCGAATTTACAAGAATCGCATTACTACAACAAGACTCGACTACGCGTGACCGCGCCGTGTGGGACGCTATGCTGATAATCGAAAAGGGGCCACTGGACACCAGGCAGGCCAAGGCAAGCGCAGTCGCAAAAATCGCACGGGGGGCGATGGAGCTGAGCAGAGGCGTAGATGACGCTAAGACCACAACACAAGCAGACGGTGCAGGGTTCTGGCTTCGTGCAGTGAAGCATCATAGGATGCTCACTTCCTTAGTGCTGGACGTATTCGGGATGTGCGCAGCAAGTTTGCTCCCCTTTCAGGCGGTCTCCAAAGTCATGGCAGAACTTTCCCGAGGTGTCGCAATTAGAACGACCCTCGCCGGCTTGCTCGTTGATCCCGTAATATGCCAACCGGGTGAAGGCTTTGACTTTACACCATTGCTAGCGGGAGAAGGGAGGAAGAACGAAGAAGAAGGAAAAGAAGAAAAAGCGGCGTCGACTGATCGCGCAGCCGCGGTGGCAAGTCTACAACGTGCGCGGAGCAACATGGCAAAGAAACTAGTCTGCGCGAACCGCACGCTCGCAGAGTTGGACGGAAGAAACCTCCTGCCAAAAGATCTGCTGGGGGACGACGATTTTGCAAAATTTTTAGGCAACGTCGCCAATGAAGACACGACTAGGAGGGCAGAAGCGTGCCGTGGCTCAGTAGTCAACACGGCGTGAGGAGGTGGTTGGCGTCGAAGTTGAGGTGGTCGACGTCGAAGAGGAGGTGGCCGACGTCGGAGAGGAGGTGGCCAACGTCGAGGAGGAGGTGGCTGACGTCGACGAGGAAGTGGTCGACGTCGAACAGGAGGCAAGGTTGGTTGCTAGTAGTGAGCAGAGCAAGAAGTCGGATGGGTGTCGTTAGTAGTGAAGAAAAGACCGTGAGCAGGGGCGTCAATTCTAGGAGGATGGTGAAAGGGCGGCCAGCAACGTGATTGCCTGCCGTCGTTCAGAACCTACGGGAGAGGAGGGAGCTCGTACCATGATGAGATAGCAACTCCGTTGAGCTTGAGCTTGGGAGACCGGGTTGCGGTCGTCGCCGCGATGAGATAACGTTAGCAACTTGGCTGTGGTGTCATGATGGTGCGACGACTATAGCGCCATCGCTTTGGTGCGGATGCTATACTTTGTTTTTGCCGTGCGTGACTACTTAGCTGATACATAGCAGCGGGGCGTTGCTCGTGCTATGCTGTATTCATCGTCAGAACAGACGCGGAGGCTGAGCTTGAGGGACTTGCTGACGTTGCGTTCTGAAACATTGCAGCGGAATAGGTGCGCAAGTTTTATTTTTAGAGTTGGGGCCTCAGCTTCTGGAAGTAGTGAGGAGCAGGAAACTTTGAAACTCAACACGATGAATTACGTTTCTTTGTTGCAAAGCCATAGTAAGTCTACTCCTCGACTTAGAAGTAGTAAAGACTTGGTGATCTCTTGTTTCTCTTTCTTCATCATCCGTACAGCTACCAATAATCCCCCACCAGTTCCCGGCCCATCTTTGGCCCAAGCGTCTTGCTGCTATTTTTTCGGTCTGGTCGTGAGAGGATGAAGAACCAACTTTTTTGCCGGAGACTCATCTTCGCGGAGTCGCGAAGCAAGCTATCGATGCGGAAAAATTGCACGCTTCCTTCTTCGTCTCCTTCTCCACCTTGGTTGCTGCGTGGTATAATCTTCTACCTATTTTCAAAAACGACTCTTCAGAAGTGTCTGTCCTTGGTAATGAGATGAGTTACTGTTGCTGCATTAGTATCAAGATGATCACTCACACTCAGCTTCGTTTTTAGTATGCTAGATGAAGCAATATCTTCAAAATTTGCCAACTATTAATCTTTTTGTTTTTCGTCAGGTTTTGTTTCTTTTCGACGCAGCGTGGTGTCTCTTGCTCACGGTGCCTCCTTCCGACGGCTAAATCTTTACGGGTATCTACTGGCTGGCTAGTGGTTTTTGGTGTGCTGGAAGCAATGGAAGCACAGAGTCGGCTGCTGTGTTTTTGGACAGTGAAATTGTGAAACAACAAGAGACGACGGACTATGGAGGTGTTACAAACAAAAGACGTCGTTGACTCTGGTTTGCGCATTCCTTCTGGGCGTTTGTCATTGTTCAATTACGGGCCATGACAGTCCTTATTGTTTTCATACTTACCTATCTCTATCAAGGTTGGCATATTCGTGATTGTCATACTTATATATTTATCATAGTTATTTATCGTACTTCTTATCTATCATTGCAATGGTAACTACATAGATGCCATAAGTGTCATGCTTGTCAGTCTGTTGCGTTTTGTTTTTGAAGAAGACATAACTGATCGCCCAAGTCCGCACTTCTGTAGTATCGTCTCCAATAACGTTTTCTTTTTCAATACAGTAACTGACGTCTGATCACCAAGTAGTAAACCGAGTCCGTAAATTCTCAAACTGACGACTACAACGGATGTCCAATCATATTGACACACAAGAACAAGAACGCTGGTGAGTAGTTATTGGAGACTGCTAGTTTTGATGAATGGCCTCAGGAGCTGCAGGAGGCTGAGGACGAGACGACTTCACGTGATGGAAATATATGAACAAAAAGCAAAAGGCGTGGAACGTTATGACCAAATAGCAGTCTATGCCGATCTATCTCGCCCCATTTTCAGCATCGCAATAATTTCAGAAAATGTAGTGGCTATCTCGTAGTTATAATTCCAAAAAAAAACATGAGGCCGCTTGGCTTTCTGAGCTAGAGTTAAGTAGTTAGGCCACTAACGGGCGAGTAGCAAGGCTAACATTAAGTTATTTCGTATTTGTAGCTTTCTCTTATTCTTCTTTTATCTATTAGTATTATCGGAATTGCCTACGACTGTGCCTGCAGGTGTAGACGCAGAGACTTCGCGGACAGAGTAGCGGGCAAGGCCTCAGGAGTCATAAGACCTCGTAGAAGGTAGATGGGTCAGACGTGTGCTTAGTGTGATTGCCTGTGGCAGTCGTGTTTAGTCTCCTACGCAGTATATTGATGGCTGCGCCGAGTCCGTAGCTTATGCAATATAGCTCCCCAGTTACTCTTTGTGTTTGGCTGCTGTGCTACTTAATTATGCAACTGCGGCGACTCCGTAGACCATCAGCGTTAGGCCATTCCTCAGGCGCGCACTATTCTCGTGGCCCTTGAGTAGGAAGCAAAAATAAACGATATGACTGCCCGGCTCTTCGTGGTCGTGCCAGCGCTTAAGCTAAGCCTCCTTGTCCCTTGTGGGCGGGATATGTAGTTTACACTGCTGCGCTTCAAGTCTTGTCTAGTAGACCGCTACTTGTCACATGGGAAGATGGGCACTTTTGCACTGAGTAACAAAGGTCCTTTACCTTAGGACGTGGCTAGGTCTACAATAACAGCAGTCGCGTCTACTAGTCTTTCGATGATGTCCTCCAAAGACTATTTTCTCTCCTTCAGTGCTACTGCTCCTGCGTTGTCTCGTAATTAAGTAGTAGTAAGTTCTCCGTGGTACTGTAGTGTAGTACAACAACAGCCCAGGATGGGGCTTTTTACTACTACCACTACTACTACTACGGCTACAACTACTATAGGGTAAAAAGAAGATGGGGAGCTGCCTGCAGTCATGAAAGACCTGCAGGAGTCCACTTTTTCAAAGACTTCGACCGAAACGGTGTAAAGAATATTCTTCGAGTTATACTAATGTAAATACTAGTACCTGCGCGATTTTTCAGTTGAAAGACCTTCAAGGAAAGATAGAAGGCTCACGGCTTTCCCTAGTCAACAGCAGAAAACTCCTGAAGGGTTTCCGCGAAGCAAGTACCTTGTCGATATTTCTAAAGTGTGGATCTTCCTTGTACGATCATCATGGTGAGGCCATACTTTTCATTTTCCATATATTGTCTAACTATTTCTAGAAGTGGCTCTATTGGTGGAGAAGCGTTTTTTATTACACAGTGAAAAAAATTGCGTCTCCTTGTAAATAGTG